TCGGCGACGGCGACGGCGACGGCGACGATAACGATGATGATGATGATGACGACGACGATGATGACGACGACAGCGACGACGAAGATGAGGATGAGGATGAGGATGAGGATGAGGATGAGGATGATGACGATGACGATTACGATAATGATGATGATGATGATGATGATGATGATGATGATGATGATGATGATGATGATGCTGATGATGATGATGACGATGACGATGATGATGATGATGATGATGATGATGATGATGATGATGGGGGGAAGGATGACGATGATGACGATGGACATGAGGAGGAGGATGGTACTGGTGACGATGACGATGTCTGTGACGATGACGATGATGTTGACGATAACGATTATAAGAACAATGACGACGACGATAATGATGATTATGATGGTGATGATGAGGATGAACATGATGGTGCTGATGATGATGTTGATGATGATTTTGATGAGGATGCTGTTAACAATGATGGTGACGTTGATGATGGTGGTGATGACGATGGTGATGATGGTGATGAGGATGCTGACGGTGACAATTGTGACGCCAATGACGAGGGCGACGGTAACGACGACGACGATGGTGGTGATGATAACGACGGAAGTGATGACGGCGATACCGATGGTGATGAAGATGAGAGCGATGGTGGTGCTGATGAAGGTGGCAACGATAACGCTGGCTATGATGATGATGATGGTGATGGTGATGATGATGATGATGATGATGATGATGATGATGATGATGATGATGATGATGATGCTGAAGGGGGTGGCGAGGAAGCGCGCGCGCACAAAACAATAGACACACCTTGTATTGGAATCGACTTTCCTATGCCTGTATCATCCACTACTTAGAACAACAAATTTTGTGGAATGATTTCGAGATGCGCACGGGGACTCGCGCGTGTCTACAGTATGAAATATTTGCCACAAGGATTGTGTGCGCCATAGTGGTTGGACTATTCGCCATTCGCGCGGGTGCACCCCGCATGGCCTCAACTGAACGAGCGGACCAACACGTAGTGCCTTATGATTGTAGCAAGTGCACGAAAGGCGAATCGCCGAACTTCAAATTTCTTGTCGGAAGCATGGCTTCCACATGAGGTAACAACAACACTATCCCGAAACTGATAGAAGCCAGATGTTGACATGCACGCGCAGGCGCACACGCGTGTGGTGAGCATAGTGTCAATTGGTACGGCTTCTTTGCGTATGCACTGGAAATGTCGAAGCGGGTATTCCGCACAGTATAACTTGACCAGGATGAGGGGGTCGGTAAGGAGCCTGACCGGGACTATATGAAAACGTAACCAGGACGGACGATCGTGCACCATACATCTACATATGTTTGTATGGACACCTGTCTATACATCCATGTATGTGTATGTGAAAGAACTCTAATACGCGGGGTCGGGCCTTTCATTCAGGCCTCGACATGGGGGGTAGAGTCTAACATCCCCTGGGAAGGGGGAGCTAACGTTGGTATGAAAATATAATCGCGCTCCTTGATTCCAGGTGTCACCAGCAAACCCCCTGAAAAAAGGGAAGGTCATCACAAGGCTTAGCAACGACCCGCGACGCCTGCAAACAATAATCGCTCCCAAAAGCCGAGCGGCACCAACAGTCTTGGTGGGGCACTGTCCAGCCTCGTGGGGGCGACTCGTGACACCAGCCTTGCATTCACTGGAAAAGCTAGTCCTCGCCACCACTCGAGCAGAGCAGAAACTGCAAGGCGGTGCAGAAGCGTAAAAGGAGACAACAAGGCACCGTTGACCAGCAAGGGCCGTCTTCCCCCACAACCCTCCCTCCACCGTCCGTGATGAATGGTATCCGTTGCTAACCCCACCAGCCCTTCAGGGCGTAGGTGGTTTAGTGCGCATCCTCGTCCAACCCTATTCTTCCCCTTCGGGGAGGGGGTTACCATCGCTCCTTCTGAATATATATATATATATATATATATATATTATATTTATATATAAATGTATAGATACATATATATATATATACACACACCCTCCCACACCCGATCCCACCGGCGACAAACCAAGGCCAATGAGGGCCCCCCCGGCCATCCCTGCCACAAAAGCCATGCAAAGTGCCCTTTGCGGCAATCTCTTGGGTCATGTTCGGGTGGGGGCGGCGGCGCAAGCACTCCGTTTTGGTTTTGATATCGGCGGTGGGGGGCAGCATATGGCCTGCTGTGCGCACGGCCACCATGTCTGTCAACAGACACTACAAAGTGCACTTCGCGGCTAAATCTGGATCATGTGCGGGCGCCCCGCGACCACTTGGCATTAGTTTCTGACCGAGACGGTGGGGGTGCTGGCATGTTGCCTGATCTGTGCAGGCCCACCAGGCACCATGATGGCAACTCCGCCGCAAGTGAGCGGGCGCATCTTGCACACTCTGCGCGAGCCCCGAACAGGGCGCACCTGGCGCGGCTGCAATATGCCGCACACGTGGCGCACCCGGAGCACGTGGCGCATCTGGCGCACCAGGCGTGCCTGGCTCTCTTGGGCCCCAGGGGCGCCCGGCGTGCCTGGTGCGCGTGGCGCGCCTGGCACGCGTGCCGCACCTCGCCCTAGCGTCGCGCATCTGGGGTCTGTTTTGATTCCCAGTAGCTGCTCATCCAAAGATGACAGCTGCATATGCTGAGGCTCGGGTTCTACGTATGCGCTAAGAGAGCGGGTGACAGTCAGCCAAACACTTTGCGTCTGGGAGACATGTTTCGATCACTGTTCCCTATTAATAAACACCCCCTCCCCAAGGCGACGGGCAGCCAACCCAAACCCATGCGGGCAGCCAGCCAATTCCCCCCACGATCCCTGTCTAAAGATAGCACATACTACACTTTGACGCAAAATCTTGGGTCATGCTCGCAGGCCCCGCGATCATTGTATATGTTTCATTTGACAGAGGCGGCGGGGGTGCCAGCATGTTGCCTGCTGTGCACAGGGCCACCACGATTGCTAAGAATCAGCACAACATGCACATCGCGGCTAAATCTCGATCATGCGCGGCAGCCCCGCGATCGCTGTCACGTGGTTTTTGATAGGGACAGCGGAGGCGCTGGCATATTGACTGCTCTGTGCAGGCCAACAGACACCATGATGGCCACCCCGCTGCGATTGCACATTGGTTGTCGGCAGGGGTGGTAGGGGCCGACATGTTTCCCAATGTGTGCTGTCACGTGCGCGGGCGCACCTGGCACGTTTTGCGCGTGCCCCGAGCGTGGCGCACTTGGCGCGGCTGGAGCATGCGGCACACATGGCGCAAGTGGAGCACGTGGCGCACCAGGCGTGCCTGGCACGCTTGGGCCCCAGGGGTGCCTGGCGCACCTGGGGAGCGTGGCGCGCCTGGCACAAGCGGCGCGCCTCGCCCCAGTCGCGCACATGGGGTCTGTAAGGACCCCCCCTTCTTTGATCGATGTCCTCCAAGACGGCCCCAAGAGGGGTTCCAGGGCTCTCAAGAAGGCCCCAAGAGGCCCCCAAGGAGGCACCCAAAACGCCCGAAGAGGCCCCCGCCCCAAGAGCTCCCAAGATGTCCCCAAGACGCCCTAAGATGCCACCAGTGGCCCCCGAGAAGACAGCCCAAGCGACTCCGAAGGGCATCCAAGAGGCAGCTAGATCACTGACGCTCCCCAGGGTATCCAAGCGATACCACGGTACCCAGATAAGGGCAACTCCCCTAGGCATCGTTCCTGGATGGGCTGGTGGGGATACGCGAACCTCTAAGATTTGTCTCGACTTCGGTTCCCGATCCGCTTTCGAAGGGAAGCCTGTCAGGGCACTGATTGTGGCCACTTTGACGCTGTGGTCGAGACCTAGCTGCTGGGAGTGCCCTGGACTTGTTCGTCCAGGAGTCCTTCAGGGACTTCCCGGGAACTTCCCGAGGACATCTGAAGAGCCCTCCAGAGAACCGCAGAGGCAAACTCAAAGAATGCCCCAGGAACATCACAAGACTGTAGAGGAAAGAGAACTATGCACATGCACCGATTCTGGCCAGGCCCATCCTGAGCCCAGGATCGGTGCATATGCCATCCTGCCGCGGCCAGAAAAGCATATGCACCGATCCTGGGTCAAGGATGGGCCTTGCCAGGATCGGTGCATATCCATATCCCACGAACCCTCAGTGAACCTCCCATGAGCGGTCCGAATACCTCCGCGAAGCTCTCCGGAATACTTCCAGGACCCATGGAGTATCCATCCAGGAGCACTCCAGGACTCCGGCCTCTCGCCTCGAGGGCCATCTGGGGACCTTCCGGGTTCCCCATTTGAGGAGCATATCTCCCCACGTACCCTTCCCCGTGGGGTTCACCTCTGGCTCACTATTGAAAGTTGCGGTCTTGCTTCGAACCCGATTCTTCCGTATGGATATTTTCGAGACCACCGAGACGAACAATGCTCCCCCTGCTCTCCCGCGACCAACACGTTCTGGGCACCCTGGGCGTGGTCAGCGATCTGGATCACAGCGGTCTGTATGTCGCTCCCAGGGACGTCACACCGAACCCTTTTTCCCCGGCGTGCCAGAGCCACCGGCGGAGCTGCAGAGCCACGAGCCAGCCCGCAGGGAACTGAAAAAACACTACGAGCCCCGCGGAAAAACTCCAAAAATGAGCGTCCCAAACGGCAGCGCACTTTTCTGGGCAGGTTACATGAGTCACGCTGTCGGGCTGGCGGCCTCGCGAAGTCAAAGGGACAAGGACTTCGGGAGGACCAACCGCTGGATTAGTTGGTGTTAATTGGATTAGTTGGCAAAAAGGACTGGGTTCGATGATGTTAGGGGAAGGGGACCGCTAAAAATTACGGCCCGCGAACTGACTCGACAGGGTTGTGCAGAATCTGTCCCGACCACCTTTCGCTCCATCATCAGGAGTCGCGGCGGCGCCTCAATCTCAAAGCTCTGACATCTCGGCAGTGAAATCACTCACCATCGCAGACCCCCAAAAGGGAGAAGCAATCCCAGGGCGGCGTGTTAAGCTGATGGTTGTGCGTCCTTCTCGTACTCTTGCTCGTACTTGTCTCTGTCCTCGTGGTTCAGGAAGTCGTCCCTCCACACCCCCTTCGCGGGCCCAGCTCGCTCCCTGAAAACGCATCGAGTCCTAAGGAGGCCCGACGACGACGACAGCGACAACGACGCCGCCGACGACGACGACGAAGCCGACGACGACGCCGCTGACGATGACGACGCCGGCGACGACAACGCCGCCGATGATGATGACGACGACGACGACGACGCCGACGCCGACGACAACGACGCCGACGACAACGACGATGACGACGCCCACGCCGACGATGACGAGGTCGCCCTTGGCAAGCGCGCGGCTCATGTGTCGCGAGCGGTCGCCGAACCTGCCGCCCTACCCCGCCACGCGCGCGCCCCAAAGAACCCCCCCGCCCATGGGGGGTACGAGACCGCTGGCGCGGGCGACACCTGGCGCGCCCTGGAGCCTCGCCGGTGGCGGGCCCGCGCAGAGAAGGGCAGCAGGGTTGTTTGTCGTGTTGTGCTCTCTCTCTCTCTATCTCTCTTTCTCTCTCTCCCTCTATCCCTCTCTTTCTTTCTTTTTGTCTCTCTCTCTCTCTCGCTCTCTCTCTCTCTCTCTCTCTCTCTCCCTATCTCTCCCTCACTGTCTCTTACTTTATCTTTCGATCGTTATGGTTCTCTCTCTCTCTTGAATTTTGAAAGGGAGTGATGTCTGAATAGATGGTGCGAACAACGTGGGACGTTCACATTACGATGCTGAAGATTTCGAGCCCTGGTGTGAGCATGAGGGCGACGCCTACCTCCGACATCCTGTGTTGGTCTTCCTCTATGGAAGTCTGTTATGCTTGTGTGCTGTGGGTGTTGCTTCCTGCCAACGGTTTTGGAGTGGTGCAGGTGGCAAGGACATACATTACACTCAACTGGACCCACGTGAGGACGGCAAGGTATCTCCAACACATAGTTGATGCAGTAGGCCTACCTTTCTCTCTACGGAATTCCCAGGAGCAGGCAGTTCTAGGGCATGTCATAACGGGCCTTTTGGGAGCCTCAGTGCCTGTCCTAATGGGATGTGCCTCGAGGGTCAACCTGATGACATTCGTGCCAGCCGCTACTATGTCCCCCCGTCGGCGTCACAGGCCCGCGAGGAAGGCCCTCCAGATGCATGAAGTTCAGGAATGTGATGACCTTTTTTGTTCCTGAGGGTCCGTTCCAACTCCAGGTCTGATTCTGGGAGCTGTTTTATCCTCACACGTTCCTGGGACCCCTGTTAAGATTATTATGGCTTATATGCTTCCGTGGATACGGTCCCCCCTCCCTACCTCGAGCGTTCTTTTGCGTTTTCGGGCCGCCCTCGAACACCCGTGGGTCCCAGACTGGCAAGCCTCTGGTAGCCATCGACGGCCCTGCCAAACCTCGTCCGGCCTTCGCGCCTGCCTCAGGAGGAGGAGGAGGAGGAGGAGGAGGAGGAGGAGCCGTGCGCTGGCCGCGCACTTGGCCCGCCCCCTGCCCCACCTCGCCCTCCGGCCTGCACCGCGCCTCCGTCGGCCAGGGGCGGCCGCCCTCGGCCAGGCCGACGCGCGCATGGCAGCCCATCGATGCATCGAACTCCGATCACGCGGTCCGCGGCCCCCCCCTCGCAGCGCCCGCCTGATGATTGCCAACAGCTCGTTCGCCCTCACCTTCTGCCTGGGCGAGGCCCTCGGCCTCCCGCTTGGCGAGGTGACAGCCCTGGCCAGGCGCACCTTCTTCATGCGGTTCTTAACCAGGGCGGGCGCCCTCAAAACAAGACAAGGCTGCGCCATGTCTTTGGGCACTCTTCAACGGCCCCGCAGCATCGGGCGCGCCGCTTCCTCGCCCCACCAGGGCGCTGCCCCCCCCATGCGCGAGCTGCGCCCGCAGCCGGCGCGGTGCTGTCGCCTGGCGCACTCCCTGCTGTTGAGGCCACGCCTCAGCTACTGTCGCGGCAGGGGCGCCGCTCGCAGGCGCATCCGCTTCCTTGCCACACCAGGGCGCGGCCCCCCCTGCGAGAGCCGCGCCCACAGCTGTAGCAGTGCTCACGCCTGTCGCACTCTCCGCTGATGAGGCCGCGCTGCAGCAGCTGCAACTTCGCAGCGAGGGCGCCGCTCGCTGGCACAATCTTGCGCTCGCTGTCACCAACGCGCAACGTCATGCGTATTTCATTCCGCTCTCGTGTGCAGTAGCCGCCGGACGGTGCGCTGAAGCCGCCCATTATGAATGTCCGTTACGGTGCCATGCATGCCCGCATAGGGCCTCCACCACGGCCATTGAACCCACTTCTTGCCAGCCCGATTGCCCGCGCGGCCACGCATCATCGGGACCTGGCTGCGGCGGCGGGGGAAGCCCCGTCGTTCGCGAGCTGCTCAGCGGTCAAACCTTTGTCCCCCAGCCGCCAAGCGGAGCTTCGCCGACCTGGGCCCTTTGCCCACGCGGGGTGCAGAGAGACGTGGCGCATCGCCTGCTCACCACCCTGCCTCTTGCTTCAGTCGCTTAGCGCCGGGGTGTGGTTGTTTCAACACTCCCCATTCTCCAAGGTGCGCACCACCGCC